AGAGAGAGAGAGAGAGAGAGAGAGAGAGAGAGAGAGAGAGAGAGAGAGAGAGAGAGCCGGCAATGTGCACCACGGTTAGCACGTTAAGCCACGCGTGAATCCGTCATTAATACCGGAGACGATGGAGTCTGCGATCGCCCGGCTGAAATGTCAGCTGAGCGGGTCAAGAGCCGGACCATTTGTGTTGCTCTCTCCCGAAATGGCAGTATATTGTTCGCTGCAATTGTGCGTGACGCGGATTGTACGCCTCTGAACTTCGAACTTGGGACGTATGACAGTCTCGAGAAGGATGAACGGGATGTTGGAAATACATCTGTCGTCATCACGTTGGCTAACGTTACCCGGGAAATTCGTACTCTTGTAATAGATAAAAAAAATACTCAATGACTACTTACGGCTTATTCGACAGTCGATTGTTGTGCTTGGGTGTCGAGATTTCTTCTTCGCGTAGCTTCTTGCCGATTCCGCCGATTCGTTGCGGCGGATCCCTCAATGCGAAACTCTTTGCATAGTGACCCAAATGAAGCTCTTTCCGATTGAATATCTCGCGCATGTCACGGGGGTAACTCGAGTAGAAACGCACCCATGAGATATATGCTACATAGAAAAAGATCATCGTGGAAAATAAAACAATTATCACACACACGCGACGACCATCGCTCGCTGCTACTGAGGATGTATCGAATTATGTTATATTGTTAATCATATTACATATGATAAAGAAAACATGCCACAGAGCGCGTAGTTAATTTGCGATCAATTTCAAAGTAATTGATAATTGATCTTTTACACATTGTAATTAGTTGTCACACAAACATGCATTGCATTCAACAGTAAGAAGAATTAGATTCTGAAAAGAATACGTTCAAGAAGCGATTAAAATCGAGAGGCGCGGCATCTTCTTCGAGTACACTCATCTCGTTTACGCTTAAGAGGTCACGTGCAACTCGGATGTAATGATCAGTTACATGTAGTGCGCCCTTATTAATCGCAGTTCCATTAGGTTCCACGGGGGTTGGCCCACGCGATTCCGTGGGGTGTGTGCGCACCCCGTGGCGGGCTATTAAGGGGCATTAACGGTGAGGGGAAGGAGTAGTCGAGTCAAGTGCTGCAGCTAATAGTCACCCTCGCGTCCCTTCTTAACGTCTCGTGCTTGTGCGCGCGGGTGAGAAACTCGGGGGATCTCTGGTCCTGAGAGAACTCAACATGTGCGCGACGGCACGCTGTACCGTGCGAAAAATCTCCCGACTTCGAAGGGAGTGGACGAATTTGCTTTATTTGTAGGCAGTCTAATTTCTGCGCGCGTGGTGAGGTGTTTTGCAAAGTGAAAAGATTACTACGCTAGACCAATAATTATTCGCGATGTTATTATCATCGCTGATAATACAACGACAATCAACGAACAAATCATCGAATGAGAGAAATAAATTTCTCGCTTTATAGTGAACTGCTCTTTCCTAGATCAATTAAATCTGTAAACTTAGAAGCTAACTATTTTAATATCCGACATCTATTTAATTCGGAACTTAAGAGGTGCGTTTAACAGAGCAGATTTAGTCGCGAGTAAACGTTCTCGGACTTCCCTCCGCGCTCAAATGCCCGTAATTTTCATAATTCTTTCGCGGTCGGACTTATGTCTCGACGTTTTCCGTCCTGATTTCCGTCTGCTTCCAATCCCGACTCCTCCTTTCCGCACATAAGAAACCCCGCTGAAGTCTTTCTCGTGGCTTGGTGTCAACGTTGAAAAGGGAGAAATGTTTTTCTCCATTTAGCACATAAATCACACGCGGGGGTGGTGTGTCTAGCTGAGAAGCCGGGGCGGCGGAGAGAATGGGGTGTGGGAGTGGGGTAGCATTGTTCCTAAGTGATGTAACTGCGTCTTATTGTATTTGTATCCTGTATCGCATTGTTAAGAGTCTCTCGGCACAAAGCGTAAGTGGTTTTGGCGGAAGTCACATTCAGTGGTTGGATTGTGTCGGCCACCCCCTGTGAAAGGCGCGCGAGCGATATACACTGAATTCGATCTAACTCGCGACAAGTGCGCGATTCGGATCGGCAATGACCGAAAATATCGTGACAACTGAGCAAAATATTTTTTTTCTTAATTAAATGTCATGTTGAAAAAAAACGACTTTGAATCGACTGAAAAATATGTGGCAAAGATACAAATTTTTTCCTTAAAATTCACGCAAATATGACTTGATATATCACGTGTGTTCCAACTTCTGTATTATTATATCGACAAATGTAAGTAATCTGAAAGTTACACAATCGAATGTAACTATTCACAATAATGAGATCCACGAGCAATGCGATCATTAATTATAGTCGTTTCATTAGATTAAGTTAAAATATTTGCAAAGAATTATGACGAACTGGATATAGTCAAGCACCAACACGAGACTCAAATCGTATGTATGGGATGGAGTGGATGAGTCCCTCAGGTTAGTGGCGAGGGTCGCAACTCGGGGGTCGTTCTATAGAGCTGTACTTGCTATTGAAGGCTGTTCGGCTCTATTGGGGTGATAATGTTACGAATTAGCGAGATTTCCACTTCTTCGCTTGTCGGCTAGCCTCCGCATCGGTTGCGAATTAAATAAATTTCGGAATTGCCGCGAGGATATCGTCCACGTGCCGCACTATTTCCCATTGTGCGTCTGTTGCGCGAACGTCTTTACGATCTTAATTCCAACATTGAAGTGTATCGTGTGCACGTATTACGCCCAGTGTGCGATGTTATTGCTGACTTAGGAGTAACCGATCTTTTCGTTCTATCATATCTACTTTTAGATGAAAAATTATATGAAATAAAAGAAAATGCTAACAAAAGAGTATATTTGAACTTCGAAAAATTACTTTTAACAGCTTAATTTTGAAGAATTGCAAAACAATGCGTATACTAAATTATCTTTTTGATAAAAATTGATTGATATACACAACTAATATTCGTCTGCTCGTATTTCCATTTGTTAAGAAGGAAGTTTCTCTAACAAGTAAATCTACCCAAAAGGTACACTCCGATTTCTTTCTAATTTGGCACAAATGTAAAAGTACAAAAAATATTTTTTCATATTTTTTCATTTTGGCCCACTTTGAGTTTCACGGGCAGTTTATATTTTTAATGTTCTCCTATCATCAACAAGTACAACAAAAACGCATAAGAAATAAAATTAAATATAAGATATAGTTAAATAATTTTAACAAAATCGGCATAGCTGAGACACGAACCATTCTAAATTTCTTTAACCGAGATTCCAACCGAAATATTTTAAATCTGTGCTAAATGAGTCAAAAATGGTTCAAATATTGACCAAACCGACAATTTTAATTAAAATTTTAACAAAATCGGCATAGCTGAGATACAAATTATTCTAAATTTCTTTAGCCAAGATTCCAACCGAAATATTTCAAATCTGTGCTAAATTAGTAAAAAATGGTTCGAATCTCGGCCACAAACTGAGAAATTATTTGTAAAAATAATATTTTTCAACTTTTTACGTGTTTTGTTTAAACGTTTTATTATTTATACAAATAATTGTACACATTTGACCTCATATTCATAATCAGCAAACCAAAAACCTATATCTAGGTTTTAAGCCGATAAGCCTATATCTTGTATTCAATTTTATTTTTCATGCATTTTTGTTGCACTTGATAGGAGTTGATATTAAAAAGCTATAAGCTGCCCGCAAAACTCAAAGTGAGCCAAAATGAAAAAATATGACCTAAATATTTTTTGTACTTCTACATTTGTGCTAAATTAGAAAGAAATTGGAGTAACCTTTGGGCAGATTTACTTGCATTTTTTTATTTAAGTATAATTACTTTGGCCGATACAAACACCCCTTCCGTTTTCCTCCCATTCGCACTCCCGTAATCCCAGTTCCCATGCGAAAAGTGCAATACCGGGGTCACGACCGACGCCGGCAATTAATCTATCAATCACCGGGTACGTGCGGAGGAACGGTCAAGTGGTTAGCTGTGTAACGTCACTCAAATCTGGAGCGGCTAAGCGCTCAAAAACCGTGGCTAACCTTCGTGTAAAGCCTCGGCTGATGCGGGACAATTTCGAAGCTCGAAAACCTCTTAAAAAGATTAATGATCCCGAATTTCCTTTTTGGTATCGCTTGTCGTTCGCGCGCTTATAGCAATCGACCACAGTATCGTGACACAGTCGTTAATGCACTCCCGCGCAAGTAATCGTCGCGAATCGTTCCGCATTATGTCATTATTATCGCGTTAATAAGACGGAAATTGTTTCTAGACTCTTCAGACTTGACGGGGAAAAAAAAATTATAGAATTCTGTAAATATTCACACTCCAAAACAATAAAGTTACTTTCGCATAAAGCGACCGAATAACGAAGGCATTTTAAGGAAGCAACAAGTTCATTGATGATATTTATATGAAAAGGCGAACGCGGAGAGAAAAAATGTTCATCGTGTGCGCGAGAAGAGGGCTAATGTCTTCACTTCACGAGTATTAGACCGGGTATAATGGATTTATTATTGCAGCAAATAAATTCTTCTCCGTAACGACCCTAATAGAGTAACCGCGGCATAGCAAACAGGATCATCCCTCCCCGTCCATAGACTATGTAAATATCCAAGTGGCGAACGAAGCAAATGCGAAGGGAGACGGAATAAGAGCCCCATAACGTGTGCGCGTAGGGGTTGCTTTATATGCGAGAGGGGGAAAGGGGTGCCCGCTGGAATTGGCTTAGTCTATCCTGAAGTCAGCTCGCTTTCGTTACAATCCAGCTGCGTCAAAGTAAATGTTCAGCTCATCCTTCGCGACTCCTCATCAACACTTCGTCCCTTTGCGATGGTAAAGATTTAAGCTTTTATTGCACGCGTACCTCTTAAAATATGCACTCGAATATACACGCCGATAATAACGAAAAGATTATCGAACTGCTAACGTAGCGCAGTGATTTATCACACTACAATTAATCTCACCATCGTATTTAAATTTCGTTCTATAAATATTGTATAATGTTAGTATAAATTACTTGCAATTTTGGAATTAGTATCTGGTCTATGAATGTTATATTCGATTTTGTTTTAATCAACGATGTAAAAATGTTCACATTTTAAAGCCATGCAAAGCCGTCAATTACAATACTGTTCATTGCAAAAAGTTGTATTCACCTTTACACGCTTTTGCGCTAAGTTGCCGATTCTCTAATATTAGACTTTCAAAGTCGTTTTGGAGAGCGGTAGCCGCCGCTTGCACCGAGTTGTGTCTAGAGAGAGGTGCCAACAGTTTGTCTAGGATATCGTTCATGTCTTCTTGTTTGATTCTGATACGCCTCGACTCGAGCATTCGTACGAACTCGACCTCCGGAGGTGTCAGAAAGATCGTCGCTGTACCGGAGGATCCGGCACGTGCGGTCCTACCGATTCGATGAACGTAATCCCTAGCCGAAGTTGGCCCCGTATATTGTATGACACAATCTACCTTTGGCATATCTAATCCTCGCGCTGCAACATCCTGTATAATTGAAAAGAGGAAGCACACCTTACATCTCAACCAAAAGTTTTCCCGTAGTATATCGCGATTGATTCGAGCAGTTTTAAATCTGTCTTTTTGCGAAGTGAAGTAATTCAGATGAAATCGTCATTTTAACACTGCGATTTTTTCTTATCCGGGACAATGTCTTCGCTAGTTATCGAGCTCCTCGAGCAGTAGGTTCCACGAAGAAGAGCGGCAACGGCGAGTCTGCGACCTGCTGGTACAAATGTCTTACAAACCGCGGTGATTTCTCGTTTTGTGGCGACGTGAATGCGCGCGGCTGGCAGCGGGCGCCCGCTGCGGGACCCCAACGGCGAACGTTTGAGCACGGCCCTGATTTTCTACGTTCGGCTAGTCGATGATTTACCGTGTCGAGAGCGCACGGAGCCTCTCTCCGCTCTCTTGACGAGCCCCGGGGACTAATCCCAGACCACCAGTGGGGGGCGTCGCGGCACCCCGGAATTCTTTCGCGGCACGATACGGACGTATCCGTGTATTCTTATTACATCTTTTCCTCCTATTAATTCAACACACGTCGACGACGGCGCGATCCGGGCGCCAGTGTGAAGGAATACGAGAAAGGAGCCTCTCGAAATAAATATCGATCGGACCAATACCCTTTTCCCCGGACTCGCCCTGTGATTCTTTTATACCCCGTGCTTCGATAAATATCGGTAAAAAAAAACCATCTCTGACTACATTTTATTTCGTGCGATTAAGAATACTAAAAAGAATGAGGACAACTTACACCTAGGAGATCGAGAAGTAGAAGAAATTCACGAGGAGTCAATTAATGTTCACGGCCGAGAAGGATAACAGAACGTACACAATAATCGGAGCAATTTGGAGAGAAGAAAGAAAAAAGGAATCCTCTAGCATGTCTACGTCGGAAATTAAATGGAAAGACATTCGTTAAGTATCTTAATGTTCGGCGTTAATTAACTCCGTGTCGTCGCTACGGCAAAATTTGTTTCGGAGCAGAATTCTGCCAAGTAGAAGTTTAACGGGAACTTTGTGAAGTATCCCGCAATGACTCGCGCGGCGCGATCGCGAGCGGAACATGCGCGCATAGCGCATTAAAATGATACAAGCACGGCACTTGCCACCGGTTTCGAGGCACGTAAAGAAAGCGGCGCGCTGAAGGGCGATCGATGGCGGCGATTAAGACAAACGATCGTTTAAGAAAGGGACCGGGCTCGCGGGCCGCGGGATCGAGAACGGATTGCCCCCTCAAAACATCTCACTCGAGCCATAGATCACACCGGTGGATCCGGATCCACCACCGCTGAGAGCCGCGGAACATTCCGGCCGCGGGTGCCCTCAACGGGCTTTTCAACGTGGAAATTAATAACGCCGCCGTAAAACCTACGTGGTAGCGACGCCGTAAAACGTGGGCGGCTGCCATCGCGCATTCCGCGGATCAACATTAAAGAGTTAAATATGCCCGACGTCTTCCTAAGTACACAGTAAATTATTCCACTTTTTCCCTCTCCCTCTCCTCCCCCTTCTGTCTTCTGCTCGTGTCGACATTGGAAAGGTTGCGTCGATGCTCTCGAATATACGAACGTTATGTTAAAAAAATTTGTTGCGTTGCGAATGTAACAACATCGATTTACGACAAGTTCGGGAGGCGTTTCATTAGAATAATGAGTGGAATGCTAACCGAACTTTAAATCATCACGAAGTAACGCGGGTATCCTCCGAATGTTATGCACTCGCGTGTTCCTAAAGAAATGCAAATGCACACATTCGATCGTAATTTTAATCCTCTTGTGCCTTAATTGATTTACGTCGTCGCGCAGCGAGGAGAATATCGCTCTATTCACACGATGTAATTTCTTTATTCAAAGTTTGACTTGCCGGGTAAATTACACGGCGCACACGGGATTCGTAAATGAATGAAACGGTAAAGAATACCGCTCGCGCAGGAAGTTATAAAGTCCGACAAACGGCTGTTCGGAATCAATTTCGTGGATTTTAATCACGTCGCTTTTCTTTAGCCGCGATAATAATTCGCGACATGAATCTTGGACCCGAAAGAACAGGTCTCCAATTAATCGACGTATAGGATTTAATGAAGAGAGAGGGAGAAAGAGAGGATAACGAGGACTTGCGGTGAGACTTTGGAATTTTCGTCGATTCGACCACGGGATCGCCTGATGGAAAAGAATTAATTTTCACGCGGTGTAAGTTGTCACTCGTTTGCGTGACGCCGATCGTGAAGTTCACAATCCGCATCGTCCTGCCGCGATTTAATCTGTTTTTTTTTTCTTTCCTCTTTTTCGTTCATTTGCGCGCGTTCTTCCGATGTCCACGATACTTTCGGACACGTGAAAGCGCCATAACAATATTTCACGCTAAAATCTAAATTGGCCGATGAGGAAAGATATAATGAAACCAACGGTGTTTTATTTCTCGACACAGTCCCCGCGCGTCTAACGACGACGAAATCGATCGCTTTCATCGGTAATTACGACAGTTAAGGTGGCCGTCGCGAGTTCAGCGCGAATCAGAAAGTTGCTCTGTTATTCGGCATCGGATTAATTCGGCCGATGTAATTCGAATGTAATTAGCAACGGGGAAAGAAAGTTAGTCGTTACGTACGAAAGTTACTCGCGAGCATTATTGCGTCATAATTAATTATACCGTTCACGGAATGCAATTAGCGAAGCAGACGCTTCTCTGTCGAGTATCTCGCAAATAGATAAATATTTCGAGGTCGTGTATTCATATCATTCGATCTAAAATGATAAATATCCTACTATTGTATAAGCACCACTGGCGGCCGAAGGTGCGGATTATCTTTGGCAAAAATTAGGAATTATGAATAGAAGAGTAATATTGTCACAAATTTCGGGTTACTAAACGACTGTCTTAACGAGGAAAGAAACTACAGACTCGAGTACAGAACTGACAAATGATCGTAATTACGCTCATTACGAAAGCTTCATGCGTCCGCATAATCTTTTACAACCGATCTCAGCGTGGGTCCGGAGATATTAAATTCCCCTCCCCCGAATAAGCCGCGCGATAATTTACAACTCAGGGAGTGCCGGCAGATATCCCTGACTTTTCTTTCGTTCTACGAGTTTGTACTTGTCAAGTCTTCCTCCTTGATTTTATTCAATATTAATTAACGCTGTGTCTAAAGCATCTTATGACACACGATACATTTCCAGAGAATAGAAACACTTAGAAATTTATAGCGTCTAGTCGATGCAATACAAAAAAAAAATATTTAATCACGATGTGCATCACGAAATCTTTATGGACGTTTCGGAGCGTGCAACTTTCAACAATGTGAAATGTTGGAGACTCACCGTACACAGCAGTACTCCGCTGTTTGCTTGCCTGAACGTTTTAAAGACGTCTGTCCTTTCTCTTTGCGTCATATTACCATATAGTTTAAAAAATTCCACATCGACCAACGGATCGGAGTCCTCGTCATCGTCGTTTATCGGTTTCGTAAGGACAGATGATAGAATCTCGGTATGGTAGTCTACCATGTCTTGCGTAGCCATAAATATCAATATTTTATGCTGTCCGGGAGTCTACATGAAGGAAAAACAAAAAAAAAAGAAAGAAACGAAAAAGATTGCAGTTTCGCATGATCGCGAAGGAAATTGCTACATCGTTTTTGTGAGTGTGGAGACCAAAGTGTTCCTCACCTGACACCTTCCGGCAATATAGGCGCTTAGAGTGACCATTCTTAATTTAGGTGGAGTGACTATGTAACTTTGAGTTACGCCTTGCGGCACTACTAAATCCTCGTTGATCTCACTGATATTTCCACCTTTCACTTCTAAATTTTCCTTAGCCGCGTCAACGAAAATCGGATTCCGCATCGTCAGACCCGCCAATTTCTCGACGGCCTGCGTCAGAGTCGCGGAAAGTAGAATTGTCTTTCGTTTCGATTGATTTTCACCTTCTTCCCGATCTTGCTCGATGTCTCGAGCACTTTCCGAGACAGATTTTTTACTCGTATCAGAATGTTGTGTATCCTTCTTTTTCATTGGAACGGTATAATTAACGGCTTCATCGGTATCACTCTCATCACTCGAATGATACGTCTGTTTATGCTTATTACTATCGGTGTTATCTATTGTTGTTTCATTGTCATCTTCCTTCGAATTTCCCTGTAGCAGAGCTTCAACATCTTCATCTATGTATGTCTTCTTAATATCTTTTTGCTTTAACATTTTCATTGGATCGTATCCTGATTCATCTTTGTTAATGCTTGACACTTTTAAAGCGCTTACTATCCTGAATTGAAAAAGATGTATTACGTATATTAATTGTAATTATTAATGATTATTAGCATTTACTGTCGATATATCAAGTAATAGTTATATTAATAATTACTTCTTGGCAAAGTTAAAAAATAGATTAGAAGAAACCTACCCGGAGATGTCTTTCTCATATCCCATATCAAGCATTCTATCAGCTTCGTCTAATATGAAATACCTAACCTCGTGCAATCTCAACGCTTTCGTGTGCTTTATGTGATCTAATAATCTACCGGGAGTAGCTATTAATACGTTACACCCTTTCCTCAATCGTGCCTTTTCTGCTTTTCTCTTTTCCCCACCGATTAAATATCCTGGTACAATCCATGTAAACGGCTAAAAAAATTGTGTGGTTTTCATATGTGTACACAAGAGTGTAATAGATACTAATATATTCAAGATATATTTCTCTAACTTACTTTAACCAATTTTATGAAACACTCATATGTTTGCAAAGCCAATTCTCTCGTGGGCACGACTATAAGAGCCGACAAACCACAGTTTCTATTTAATTTGGGCCTAATTTTGTGCAACGACTCGACAATGGGTATAGCATACGCTAATGTTTTCCCAGAACCTGTCTGTGACCTGATTAAAATATCCCTAGCTGAGAATATCTGAGGAATTGCTTTCTGCTGAACCGTAGTCATTTTTGTAATATTCATATTTTGTGCTAAATTTGATATCTGTAAAAAAATTATTGACACTTGATAAATAAATGTCCTTGCTCCATAATAGATATATTAAATAGACATGCGATAGACTAACCATGAATGGATGAATATTGAGATTTTCAAAAGTGACCTCTGTAAAAATTGGTTCATTTACAGGTTTTACAAATCTTTGACCAATGGTTGGTATATCAGGATTGTTGCCAAATAAAGAAGAGATTTTCCCACTAGCTCTGTGTGGCAACCTTGGAGTTTTATCCGATTCTCTGTCATCATTCATAATCTTTTCTCTATGTTTTTTTATTATTTTTGTATTCCTATCCTTTTCATTCTGTCTATTCTTCTCTATCTTTTTCTTTTTGTCTTTTGAAGCAAATGGTTCTTTAGCTACTACTTTAGGTTCTCTGTTCTGCACACTATTTTTATCAATGTCATGTTTCTGAATCGTGCTTACATTTAATTGTGTCTGATTCTTCACTTGACTTGAAAATATGTCAGAAAGAGATCTCTTTTGTTCATTCCTTGATGCATCTCTCTTCCTTGCTAACAACGTTTTACCAATGTGTTCCTTTGTTGGCTTAGTAAAGGATACCATCGGTTCATTTGTGGTATCAGAACTTACAGTGGATGAAATTTTATCAGATTTCGAGACTTTTTTATCTATTGTATCAAATTGTTTAATTTTCCTAATCTCTGTAACTTTAGCTGTTGTATTTTTAACTTGAGATGATGCCTGCGACTGTTGCAGCATCTTATGAGCGACAGTGTTTGTACCTTTCAATTTCTTAGCAAAGATAGCTGACAAAAATTTCTGTTTAATCCTTGATTTGCCTCCCGTCTCTTGTGTACCCACATTTCTTTTCAATTCTTTATTATTCACTGCTATACCTTTTTGGAAAGATTGATGTTTCAATCTTTTAACTGAGGTCTTCGCAACCTTGTTTTTTTTCTGTTAGTTATATAGAAATATTTATTATATTAATTCACCTGTCCATTCTTACATATTTATTAAACTTATTACGTGTTAATTGTATGAAATTTGTGATATTTCTTAAATCTTTTCTAAGCTTATGGTATTTTCATGGATCTCATAACCTGACCTAACCTAGCACATACCTTCTTCACGGTGAAAACTGGTTCCGCCGTCACGTTTAAAGAAATATCCATGTCTGGAATTGCCATTGTGAATAAGATGTGGATTGTTTAGCAGGGAATCGCTATTTTTACGTACACTTTACACACAATAAAATACACAGAGATACCGCGTTACTCAAAACCACATGGTCGATACAGCACGTTGTCGAACATATGATCAGATGTGAGCATGCGCACAAGAAGAGCGCTATTCAGAGTGCGCTTATATATATGTGACGCATATTTTTTGCATGTTCCTAATTTTATGAAAAAATATCAAAATTATACATACATATCAAAATTATACATATACGTTATATAAATTATATGAAAAGTTACATTAATAAATTATTTATCTTTGCTAAAATGCGTAACACACATAATATTTAATGTCTTTACGATATTTTTAAGAGATAAAGAAATAATATATATAAATAGTTTTTGTTAGATATTATTATACATACCATTACACACGTGTATAACAAAACATACTAACTAATCTAATATCAAATCCCCAAAAATCTTAATTCTTTAATCTTAAAACTACAAATAAAAAATTAATTTACGTACACATTTACGTATTGAATGATCAATTAACATGTTTTGTGCGGAAACATAGACACCGATGTTTTTGCTCATGTCATTGACGTCGCCGACATTACCAAGCATCAGGACACAAAAATGGACGCGGAAAATGAATACATTTTTGTAAGTATTTAATTATTATTAATTTATATATGCATAACTGTTTATCGGAAGGGGACCTCATGCATTTAAAAATTCGATATTTACAATTTTCGTATAGTGTATCATAAAATTCGACTTCATTCAAATTCGTCTAAAACAGTCTGTCGAATTTGAATTCATACATACGATCGATACGTTCGATCAATACGCATATGACTTGCGTATTTCAATAAAAGGTTGATTTAACAATTGACTTATACATATGTACCCAGATAATACAGAGAATTCTAAAAGAATTCAGTCGTATGTCACCAATTCTGAGTTTATTTTTAGATACAAAAAGAATTCTTTTCACTGAACTGAACTCTGCAGAATTCTTTTTACATCTGAAAATGAACTCAGAATTGGTGAGATACGACTGAATTCTTTTTGAATTCTCTGTGCTATCTAGATAGGCACCAGTAGAGACAAGCAAAGATTCTCCTCCTCCCCTCCTAAAGAGACGCGACAATAAAGCGGTAATACCACGAACTAACTCGATTGTCATTATTATGACGCTAACTTGAATCATTGACGCGTATTTCTGATGCAGATAGCGAGACGAAAGCGGAATAATCGCGCGCGTGTGGCGCCTATTGAAGCCAGCTCTTCATCTAGTAATCATCACGGAACACATCGAGTGCGAATTAAAATAGCGCGGAATATTTGTAATAGCTTTAACACACACTGGGGATCATTCGCGCGGCGTACGAGACACATTTCGAAGATTGCGGCTCTAAACGTGTGTTTACCCGCGCCCATGTGTGTTTACACCTTTACATTGTATCGTGCAAGTGTTGTCTGACGAGGTGACACGAAAAGCGTCGCCGGTAGAACCGCAGACACTTTGTGTCCGTGAAGCAACGCGTTCAGACGAAATATTTCGTAATGAATAAGTGGAGCTGTATCGGTGTGTCGTTGGCGGCGAGGATAATCGGCACGTACACAATGGTGAGTTCGAGATTGTTCGTGATGTTTTTCTTTTTTATTGCGTAAAAAAAGAATATGTCTCCGCAGTGATGTATTTAAAGAAGGTTCGACTTGCTTTGCGTATTAATGTTCTACCGGAAAATAATCGTACTTCGGAACTAAAAGTGCTTGTGTAACGCGTGATTGCATCAAGATATTCAGTGACGTAAATTATAAAAACTTGTTTTTCAAACATAATTGCGTACACGTATACCTTCATGAGCAATCAACATGTTGTTAATAACGAGCGATACCGTTAAGACCGGAGATTAGTTCATTTATCGCTTTAAGAATAAATTCGCGAATATTAGGCCGAGTATTAAAATTGAAAACATATTACGGAAATCTAATTTTCGTCGTCATTCGGCCGTCCGTTTGTTTTCTCTTAGTCTCTATCGATCCTAATGATAAACGTGTTGATGACCAACTTCTTCTCGAGAAAAGGAGAGGAGGAATTTTTCGATTCCTGCAAAACCTGGGCCATGCTAGGACTGAATTGGATGCAGATTTTGAGAAACACGCAGCTACAAAAGAAAGGTAAGCGTCGATCGCGTAGATTGCGTAAAATATTTTCGATCGATAACAGAATGTCGCGTATGTTTCAGTGCTAGTTGCCATGATATGTTTCCTCACATACGCTCTGTCATTTTTGCTAGCCAGCGCGTGTCTCGCCTTGGGATCGATTTCGGTGAGCGTTTTAAGATATATCGCGTAGAACTGGCAAAATGAATTTCCGGTTAAACGTAAATTATTAATTTTGCGAGTATAGACTATTAATGTGGCATTGAAGAATAAAGAATCTCCGCGTAACATTTTATTTACGAAAGTTAGCTTACAGTTTCCGTTATCTTTCTCTTTCTTTTTCACGCGATAAAGGTCGCGGGTAAAGGCGCATGTCGCCGATCGAATACAAATTCGACAAACACTCTTTATCCACAAGGTGTATTTCGGACACGTAACAACCTTGTCGCCAATCGCTAACGATCGCGCTAACTTCCGCGTACGTTCACAGAAAAGACATAAGTGCGCCGTGCCTTGGATGTATTTGCAAATGATTAGCATAATAGATCAGCTCGTGACGTTATGTATCCATCTGATACACAGCCAGGAACAGTACGATGTTTTGGAGAAATTTACGTGGTACATTCCGATATCTATCATTTATCTAAGTAAGTACGCAAGTTTCTATTTCTTTTCCGCAATTTGTTCTGCAATTACAAGCACTCAGACTAAAATCGTGAATTCTAATTTGCTCTTGCGAATTTTATACTTGAGAAGAAATGCAAACGAATAGTTGTCAATACTTATTCTTGATAAAAAAAAAGAAAATTACTTTTGGAATTAAAAATTAAAAATTTTATAGTAAAACACGCCAGACACAACTATGTTGTCCAATGTTTAATTAAGAAGTTATATGTTAAAAATTAAATTTCACAACTTATGATCTACGAAATTCTCACTAGAGCAAAATCGATTGAATCTCATAAAGTGATAAATATAGAATACTCTTTATGCAAAGAAGATACACTTGATGATAATTTCAGTTTTTAGTATATATCTCTGGGTGATTGTGCAAGCGGCTCAAAAACAATGGTTCAGTGAACAGCAAGAAAACGTGGATGGAATGACAACGATATCGAGTCATTTATCGACAACCGTACAAAACAGTTGCTCGAAGACACCATCATTTCTTTCGCAAAATTTCTTGTTTCAATTACCGCGACCACTGGTAACTTCGCAAAAGTAGCAGGAGGTGCGTGAAGAACTACGATTCGGATGAACTCGTCATGCAGAGTGTATTATTTAATGAGAATTTCGCGATTGAGAACGTTTTGAAAACAATGTGATAAAGTGATGGAGAATTGACTCTCTGTGAACGTTGATTCGGCGTCATGACTCTCACAAGGGACTTGTGCTACATATAATATATTTATTTTCTACGTATGAGACAATCTCTTTTTTTATAATATAAACTTTATAATATAATATAATTTATAATATAAAGTAAAAATCACCGATTGATAAGCAGACAGCATCTCGCTGGTGTCATTGATTTATTCGCGAGCTATGCAGTATTGCGGGGCATTTATATATTAAAGCCCCCTCCCTCCCCCCGCGGCAGGATATCCATTGATCTCCTTTGCCTAATGGAATATACGCGAGCCACTAAACTTCGCGGCGAATCTCGGTTTCGAGACGGGGGGAAGGAGAAGTGTATAATAATGCCGAGAGTAACTCCATAAATCAGTCGGGAGATGCGGCTAATAGAGTGTATCAAATGCGCCCTCGGTGGAGCGTGCTTGCATAGAAAAATATGAGAAATGGTCACGTTTTACGTCGAAATACTTTTAAACTTCCTGGATTCGAATCGCACGCAAGCATATTCGCTATATTGGATCGTGCGTCTCTCCGGATAGAGGTCGATTTGTCCGAGAATGGCCCCAACTTTTCGCGATACTGCGAAAATAGCGATCGAAAATATAACGAATAATAGATAAAGGCTCTTGGTACGATTTATTGCAGATGTTTGGTCGTATTTTAACTTTATAGATTTGCGTTTGCAAGAAGATACGCTTCAACAACAGCGAGCACGCACCTATACTTTGTTATATCTCGGCAATTTTTTATTAATAAAAACGCATTTTGTGATGACAAATTTCGTTTGAGTATCTCTTTCTATTCCTATTTATCAGCAATTAGATAGGAGTCGATGATATATCAGAGTTTTCCAGCGTAATGCCAAATTTCAGCTTTTTGCAGCGCGAAATTCACATAATATAGTTTTCATCTACATCAATCAATAAACTTATCAAATTAGCAAAGAGAATAAACTTAAGCAAGTGACGCTCGATAAGTTGAGGGAAGGGAAAATAAATATTTTCGTCAAACGAAGACAATCTGTCCTCCCCGTGACGAGGTAATACTTTTGAATTTTTCAGTCGTCGACACGGTCCTGGCGCTGAGAAGACAGACGAAGAGCGACGGCTGCGAGATGTGGTTGGTTGCCGGTGCTTTTAAAAAGAACTGAGCGAGTCAATTTGTAGGCTGTCGCAAACTTTTAAAACACTAGTTGACAGCCGTTCCACCCCCGTCGCAAGGCCCGTCCAACCATCCTGAAGGATTCCTCTACCCCGCTCTGCCTCTCTTCCCTTTTCTCACTCGTTCTTCGATCGCGCCACCACTGAGGGACGAGGCTCACCCCTGCGTGTCGCAGGAGCCGATGGATTGTAAAATAAAACTAACTTGGCTCTTTCGTGGCTCGGAAACGGAGCACCGGCGAAATCTCATTCCCGCGGATCTCTTTTATTTTCGTGTACCCCTTTTTTTCCATCCCCCCGCGACGAAGGGAGCCCGACAGTTGTCGAGTACAAGCAGCGAGTCACGTCTGTTCGGAGAAATGATAAAGTTTTCCCTGAGAAAGACGCCTAATGAGACCTTCGTCTTATGGGATTCATGCTTACTTGCCAAAAGCATCGTAACCTTTTACCCCTATCTTGGATCGTAGCTAGCCAGCTTCCTCTCGTTTAGAAGAATATTTATGGCAGGCAACAATGTAAGCGATACTAATCATTCTTTTCCGATGCGTCAATGAATCATCACTTGTACAAAAAATTCGCGAATTGGGAATATAAATAGATTAAGCGCGGGTAGACTAGTTAGCAAAAGAGACTAACGAATCAATCGTAATGTTGATAAAATTATTGACAACTTCTAATTAATAGTAAGATTTACAAGAAATCGTAGATATTTATGAGTTATCGTATGACATATGGTCCGCATAGAATTGCAAATCTACTCAAAGTTCTTACGAGTCTTACAAGAATGAGTTACGAGTTTTATAATTTTATCTAGAATTGCAGTATAATTTTTCTATAATCTATAATGTATAATTCTATGTGTAATTCTATAAAATATTGAACTATTTCTTTTCTCTCTCTTTCTCTCTCTTTTTCTCGATGTGAATTCTAACCTACACGATGCCGCGCGCATCGGAATCAACAATCTATATAATTAAATTCATATACTCTTCGTAGTTGTATCATCTTCATCGCTCACTTGCGCGATTTTCTTCAAAACCGATTTCACGCGAGCTCGCTTACTTTGAGTCGTATCGAGCGGACGAAGAAGAGAGTACCCACTCGTATGACACACATAAAACGTAGCCGCGAGACGTAATTAATCTTCTCGCATGACACTTTAGCTGGTTACGGGGCAGAGCTTGCCAAGAACCAGAACACAACATACCACTTAAGCCCGCCGCCCAGAAAACAATTAATACGGGAATTGATTAATAATTATCGCGCCCCAATTTCCACCCTCTCGGACTCTCGCCAGTCACCAACGGCGATGAGAAAAAAGGAACTCGTACATCAATAATCCCGTAAAAACGCACCGAGCGAAGATCGAAAATGTTCCGTCGTCGTAATTGCAGCTTGTTATGTAAATTTGACACGAGTAATTAATTTTTTGTTATTCAGGTGACATACTTGGTCTCGTTTCTTTTTCTTATCATTTTTATCTAGTCATGTTTCCGTGTATTCCGTTGCATATTTTACGCGCCCGTAGTATTTTTCTCTTTGATACAATCGATTTCATTTTCAGTTCTTATCTTTCCCTCTCTTTCTCTCTCTCTCTATCTCTCTATATAATACTTCCCTGACGCGAAATAATCATTTCCGCGAACAACGAAAATTCCACATTAAAATCGGCGACTTATCGCCAAAGTTTAAACCATCGCTCGTTGTTCCGCTCCTTTTGTAGCATTTATTCGTGCCGGGAGAGTGGAAAGTCGATTTGGCATTACTTTTCTAGACAGACAGATTTTATTGATCTGCACTGTGTGTATGCGCACGCGTGTGTATGTGTGTGTGACGGCTCTCTCCCTCCCTCTCATTCCCTCGGTCTCGCTCTCTCGAAAGAGTGCGGGCTAGAGAGTCAGAACGAGAGAGAACGGCGGAACTGAACGCCCCATAAAGCTAACCAATGCTAATACTTCTCGTCTCGACAGTGGCGTCGGTGCCGGACAACGCGACGCCCGGTCGTCGATTCGCTTCGACCTGCATGAGGAAAAGCGCACCGACGCCGCTGGCCCGAACCGGAATCGGCAATAAACGCGTAACCGAGCCTAATTCGTAATGTTGGCCCAGTCATTGTGGACCATTGTGAACTCTCCCCGTCCCGTTCGCCGGGGACGACGAGTATAATGCTGGAGTTATCGCAGGAAACTGCCAGTAACGGTGGCGAGAGGTATGCACTCTCCTCGATGCGCCGTCGCGGACCGTCCGGCTCCCTTATTTGAGTTTTATCGCGCGTCGCTTGCCACTAAATTGATATTCACAACACTGAGCCGAGATTACTAATTTATGGACGAAATCGCCGACCTCGCGTATTCACGTCTTGGGTCAACAACGCGGCTGCTCTGACGTGAGGCGACAGTTTCCGGCGCAATCGCGACTTCACTCCTGTATATTTGAAAATTTGCAGCAGCCGTATTGAAAAATTTATCCAAGGAATTATTATTCACGTGACCTAAATACGCGATTCGCACATAAAAAATAAATGTCGTTATCGAAAGGTAGAAAAACTTGCATTATCACTGCACAGCCAGCGAAATATGTTCAGCGGGTAAACTTTGTTGAACAAACTTTATTGAACTCCTCCACGCAAATTTTTACAACCGTCAGCTCTTTCATCTTAACGTCCATCTCTTTCCGCACATGGAAGTCGATTCATCGTCGACCCCCTCGGTAATTCCAGCATTCGCGACACTGCATCAACGTTTTTCTCCATCTCTTGCCTCCGTCCGGCATGATTGTTCGCCGTACGAGACATCGGCAAGATTCAATAGCTTATGACAAGATAAAATCCACGGAGAGCCCACACAGAATTACCACATAGCGAACAAAACATAAAGATCTACAAATAAGGTGCTGATGAGTCTTATTTTGTCTATTTCGAAGGATCTCATAAGCAATTTTAATCTTATTTGTATAATTGCCAAATTGATCATTTCGATTGTGCATATAATTATCTTGAATAATTGCACAATCCTTTTTGTCATTACTTGAAATGAACGTTGTATACAGTGTATTAATAGCGCGAAGATATGCGAGATCTGACGTCGATAAGAATGAGAAAGCGGCTCTGTAAATAATCCTTACGTAAGTTATGAAAAATTTTAGCTACGCTGTTGAGGCCACGCGAAAGTCGCGCAAAGTCCGCCCTGAAAAGTTCGTTCCGCGCGGTATCGCCCGGGGATTTCGGCCGAACGTCTTAGCATATGAATGCCAACTCTGTCCTGCGAGATATACGATTTTTTTCCCCGTCCTCCTGTGAATGGAAATTTGAGGACGTGAACCGATGACCGGAGACTTGACGAACGGGGGTTGGAGATATCTCGTGTATCTTGTCCGAACCGCCGGAATGAGGGTACGGCACGTGCTCATCCTTTTTCGAGGTTGCAGGCACGTGAACCGACAGGACAAACGGGGGCGCGGCGGAAGTAAATTTGTGAACGCGATGGACGATCGCCGACACAATGGCTGCGTTTAATAGTACATTAAGCACGTCGCGAAACGACCCCGCTCGTGACCGCCGTGACGAACTTTTCCTCGAACAGCGGGACATGCGATGGCCGTGTCCGGTTTCGCGCACTCCCGCGAGGGAACGAAAATCTTATGGGTGCGGGAACGCTGTTGAAGCGTGCTCAGCAGAAAAAATTCTACGCGTTAAATCAACGATATATTATTCGGCCAATATTAAATCAATTTTTCCTGAGTCTTTCGGCTCTTGCTTTTTGTCTTATTGCACTATTAGAACTGTGCGTAAATTCTTACGTGTTCTTAATTTTTATTAGTCTTTATTTTATCAAAAAGCTTTTGTTAATTAATTTTCCTGAGCGATAAGTGAGTAATATCAATTTTTCTAGGTTATAGAAAATAAGAATTTTTCGCAAATTAATCTAAAGAGATAGGTAATATTATAACTATTTCGAAGTAAATCTCACTTTTTAAATTGAGTTTCTTGATTATTAGTAAAAATAGTGATTCAAATAAAGTTGTGAGAAAGAATTATTATTTTCTAAACTTTCATTTTAGAGACAAGTCAAAACACAGGATTTATGTAACAAAGACTTTAGACCCATTTTGTATATATTTCGAATGCTGTTAAATCAAGTCACAAAAATAGCATATCTATTATCTCGGAATCTTTCCAAATATCAACAATACAAAGCGTTTTACGACGACTGAGATGGAAAAATTTACGGCGATGTGATAACATTGCTAGTTTAATATCTCTCGTAATGCAATCAATGTTAATTATCAGATAACACACACAGTCTACAGACTTGGTCAATAATATTAAAGAAAAGCAAAAGCCATTCAGTATCTCTCAAGAAAAATTGTCTAACAGTCTACATAAATAGAATGAAGTGTGTGTGTGTGTGTGTGTGTGTGTGTGTGTGTGTGTATTACGAGCGAAAATATTAAAATATCAACATTTCGCTAGATTAATAAATACTTAGAGTTTCAATATTCACGAGGTCATGACCGAATTTCGAAAATATAAAAATTTTTCAGACCCGATGTGCCCGAGTAATCTTTAAAACAACGCTCTTTATTATTCCATGAAGAAGAAATAACTTCGCGTTTCTTTTCTTGCTCAAGTACGAAGAAACGTTGTATCTTGATCCGCGAAGTATATCGACGTATGATACGTGCTCGATGTATCGGTTCAGATTGTGTTGCTACGTGCGGACTAAATTGCCGCAATCGTTATCCTCCGCCAAGAAAGAACTGTTCGAAATAAGTTTCCTTCGATCGACTTCCGGCCACGGAGCGAAGAAGCCTCGATGTTCTCGCACGTACGTCGGTTTGCGGCGGTTTGAGCAATTGCACGCGCACTGCCTCGTTACCGCGCTACGTAATTGGTAATTGGTAATTGTTAGCAATTGGCCGAACAATATCGCGCACCAATGGCGCACTTATATGGATGTAAATTATGGGGCGGCGTACCGTGTCCGACGGCAAATTCACCTTTAAAGTGGTCGCTCTGAATATTCAGTGGCAATTTTAATTACCATTCAATGGCGCATTGGCATTACGTCGGCAATGCCGTGCGGTAAATTAGCGTAAAAATCGCTACCAGACTTTCGCACGACTCAAGTGCGCGTACGTGTGAATCGCAATAAGCATAGAAAGCCGAAAATACTTGACCTCGATTTGACATAGTGTGACGTAGTCACTGTTAACGGAACACTTGTGACTTGCTTCGTTCACCATTCAAGAAAAATTTCCAGAAAGAATTGGTCACTAGCCAGAAACTGACCATTTTTTATCAGTTAGGATTTATTGGACGGTAACTGTTCAGAAACTGGGCAGAGGAAAATATTGGTCAGTATGTCTTGGCCACATTACGCACGTATCGAGAGCGCGAGAGCGCGTTACCTAATTCGACTAATTCTACGAAATTCGGAGTGTTGAGTAAGTAACCATCGGCCATTTAACGTTCATGCTTCGCAAGACGAGCAATCGGCTCGTATCGATCATAGTGACGAGAGACACACAACGGTCGTGTTATCTCGCGTAGCGATTCAAAGCGGCGGAAGTGAGCCGGGGGCGGCGGCGGAAGGAGCCGGTTTTTCGAGAACGGCTGCCGCCGTAGGTGTCGAAGGGACACGAGGCTCGAACGAGCCCGCAATTAGGCGGTCCCGGGGTCGACGACGAGCACGGCGACGGGGTCGGGCATTATGCAAAGCAGATTTTAAATTTAGATGCGGCCCACTGTGGCCCCCGCACACACACACACACACACACTCACTCACGCATAAGTACACGCACACAACCGCGCACGTGGACGCGTCGGTGTGGCGTGCGAGCCCACACGGACCACACGTTAGAGTCTGTAAGCGTGGGTCGTGTCGTGCTCGACAAATTAGCGCGTTTTAAATCCAATCCGTGCTGAAAGAGGGTGTCGTTGTGGATGGCTGGGTGGGTGGGTGGTTGGGTGGAAGCGAGAAGGGCGACGGGGGAAAGGAAGGGTGGTTGTCGGGCTGTTTTGCATTTCTCGCGCGCGCCGAACATTTGAGGTGTAAAATATTAAATCCAGGCGCCTCCGCCATATCGCCTACGTCCTCGGGAGGGAGAAGGGTAGAGTGCGAGACAGAAGATGGAGGAAGGGGTGATAGGAGAGAGCGGCAAGGGGTGGTGGATTGGGTAGCTACCCCCCCAGAAGGGGGAGGATACGGCGAGGCGGCTCTGCGGCGCGCACTCAGCAAGTTTACATTTAAATGTAAAAGTGCCGAGTGCCGCTAGGCGAAAGCTGCTGTTTTGCATTCGAAAGCTCATGATTGCCTCTGAGCTTTGCTTTTGACGCCGAGGCATTTCGCGCTGCTGACGGGCGAGAAGCGCGCCGCTAAAGTCTGGTCGACTTCGGCTTCGGTCGAGATGGAACGCGCGCTACACAGAGCGTTACAGATTTGCTCCAGCTCTTTTCATCTACGGACGCTTTGATCAATCTCGACGTCGAATTTTTCTTAACGAAAATGCCGCCGCTCACGCTGTTTTCGCCGAGCGATACGTGAATCTCTTTGGGAATTTTATTTTAGAATTTTACTTTAGAAACCGAATACAAAAGCGCTTTGTTATTATTCGTTCAATTCCAGGTGATCATCGACAGAATTTCGATCTCCGCGATTAGTGAAAGGACGGCTTTAGTTGAATTTTTCTAACGACAGATCAATTAGTCACGAGAAATGTACATGGCTCGAGACCTTTTCTGCATGCAAAGGACCGCGTAAGGGTGCAATTAAACTTGGAATGTTTCGGATTATATACGGGCAGCCTCGCATTGCAAGCTCACGGCCGTTCTGCGTGCTATACCGACGATATCGTTGCACATTTTGCAGATATTACTTTTTCCGCGGAGCGCCGTCCTTTCGGGCGCACACATACGCACGCGCGAGTGTGCGCGCACACGCCCGTCCGTTTGATTTCCGGGACCTAATCAATTCTCAGAAGGCGAAACGACAGACGAGCGGGTTACGAGCGAGCCGGCCGTTATTCCTCTAATATGTATGTTTCTTATGAGCGCCGGTAAAAGGGCTCCGTGCAATTTCCTATGATAGATCGAGTCCCGCGGACAAGTTCCATTACGGCCGGGCTCTGAATTATTGAGCTGGCAATTCCCCGGCGACACGCGGTACGCCCTGCATCAAAGTGTCAACGGGCTCATTAAGCCTCCAAATCAGGTGAACTAACGCGGTAACTGTTCGACCGTTCCGTTCGTTCGGGTTCAGCCGATAAACACTCGCCTTAATTTGAATTCGTTCACGCCGTTGTATGCGTATTATAGATCGCGATACCTTTTCGCTGATAAACTTCTAAGGTTTGGTCTCCATTTCGCTGGACTGTCACGAATACAAAGTTAGTACACGAAATGAATCGCCAAACTTTTTCCAACTTGTTGTTCCAACAATTAGAGCTTTAATACAAGTAAAAAACGTTTAATGCGAACGATTTTTGGAGGATATTAAATCTATTGAGCGCCGTCATAGTTGTCATCAAATTGTTTGTTTAAAATATTATCGTTGTTCATCATGAACATTCTCCCCGTGCTGTTTGCAAACCTCAATTTTTGCAACGAGAATTACGGAAGGTTATTGCGAATCGTTAGGTGATTCATCTCGAATGTGACGCATCGGTTTTCACGAGCGACTACTCGATCATAAAGTGCGCGTTCGTATTGCTCGCGGCTCGACGAAGTTATGAAATATCAAGTACGTCTTATCATCGCGATCAATGGATCTCGAAATGTACGAAACGATACACCATCGGGGGATGAAATGTAACATTACGCTTGTCGCGGCTTACGCTTTATCCTGTATGTCTTTTTTTCTCTTTATCCCTTGCGGTCAGAGTGGAGCGCGCATTTGCATCTCTCTATCCCGATAGATCGGAAAGCGGAAGATGGTCGATACAGATTACGACTATCTGTAATCTCTTGAAACAGGACCTGTTACTGCAAACTGCCGCGTGTAGCTACGATCGTTGAGAGGGCCGGACTGACGCGATCATTATCTCAAGTCGCCCTTCTGGTCCATATGCTGGGTTAATAAGAACCCTAATAACGGGTACCACCCCTTCGGGTTATGTGGGGACTGTCACTAAATATTTTTCTTCCTCAACGGTTGCCCTGGGAGTTCGCCCGTGATGCTGACGTGACGCACATGTCCTCGGCCGACGGCTCATTTCAAACAAAGATCGATTCGCACTTTCTGTACTCGAAAAAAAAATTAAATCACGATTGATTTCACTCATTTTTAAAAAAGTTTGCTGTAATATTATCCCACAATTGGCTACATTATATTGTATAAAATAAACGTACTATAATATGTCTAAAAAGTAAAAACAAAGGAAAATTGTTTCACATTCTTTCTCGGAGAGTAACCGTTGAGCGTGAATACTCTTTGTACGTGAGTTTGAGGTGCTGGGGATAAGACAAAGCGCGAAATAAAGTTGTAAATAAAACAGCTCCCGTATCGTAAGATCGACGGTGCGTCTTTTTATGCTTTTTTCATCAAGTCCGCTTTCGGTTCGAATGCAAATGGGCCAATCACGCGTCCGGAAGACTGCAGCGGCTGGCGCTTACCCGCGTAATTTATTCGTAAGGGCGTTAAAGTTTCATAAGTCGTGCACATAAAATGCACTCGAGAGTGGAGAGTAAGGGTGTCCACCCCCCTCCCCTCCTGCCTTCTGCCCCGTTCCCTCTCGCCATCCTGTCCCGTCGCGCCGTCCTCGCGCTCCCGCTCTCTCACCCCCTTCTCGCCGTCCCCGGCGCGGCAGAAAATTATGCAGATGGCGGAGAAAAGCTTTGATAAACACGACAGTCTCTGATCGTTATGCAGATCCGCGCCACTGTAAAATGGCGGCAATCTCTCCCTCTCACTCGAGCGGCCGCCAGCCACCCCCGCGCCCTCATCCTCTGTCCGCACCCACCTCCCACAGTCCACTGGACCCCCGAGGGTGTTTCAGCTTCTCACTCACCGCCGGCACTCCCCGCCACCCTCATCTCGCTCCTCCGCAGCTCGCGTTCCTGATTTTCACACCCCGGCCGTGGCGGCAGCGGCGGCGGCGGTGGCAGCGGCGGCGGCACCGTCACCCCAAGTCGAGAGGGTGGAAGTACGCACCCTTCCGCCGGCTCGGCTTGTCTAACGCGTCTGCGCCGGGACGTACCACCCGGTATATATATGCGCTGCGATTTCATTGGAAGATCCTGGTGCCGCTCGAAGAGCCACACGCACAGAGTATACCCACACACGAAGCCACCCAACCTACCCACCCACTCGCCCATACCGCTCTCGTGCTCGTCGTCATCGTCGCCTGGGGTGCCGCCGACGGTGCTTCGGCATCCCCGGCAGTCACGGAGATACTAGAGGAGAGAAAGCGTATACTTTATACACCCACACCCCCAGACCCGCAACCCGCCACCAAAATGGTCGTGAAGACACTTTATCGTTCCGTTTTTCTCCCGGGAAACGAGCCTGGGCTCCGAGCCCGTGAAATCCTAGACGAGAATATAAGCTGCGATCTCGCACTTCCCGTACATCCGGGCGAGGTGACGCCAATAATAAAAATCGATTAACCGTGAGAATGTACAACGGCAATTATCGAACGAATTAAATCGTTGCTGTGTCGGAAGATGCGTCGGAGATATTTATACTTTTAATTATCCTCACATAAAAAAACAGTATAGTTGACTTATACATATATCTGGTTATGCCAACCAGATTGAATATTGAGAAGTGCTTTAAAATATTTAAAATGTTACTTTTATTATAGTTCAAAATTTCATCTTTAAAAATAAAGGTAATTTGTAAGATACAGTGACGTATAAAAATAACTTACAGAAAGAGAACAGTACGGTTGTGTTGCACATAAACCTGGTTGTGCCAATATTGAATGTGGTTTCCGACTGTATTCCGTATTATATGATATGTACAGAGTATTCCCAAATACAACCGACAAACTTTGAGAAATTATTAGAGAGATAAGGATCATTTTTTGCAAATGGGGTCGAAAATGAGTCGTTTCATCGCTACAATATACGGAGTGTTCGCGAGAAAGGTAGAGACCTCGAAATATCTAAAAAAATATAAGTTTTATAAAAAATTGTTTCAGATACATACAAAAGTTGTAAGATGTAAAAAGATCTTTTTGATGTCCCCAACAATCTCTAAAAGTTTGTTGGTTGCATTTGGGAACACTCTGTATAATTGTATCAATATGTGCCTAATAATATACAAACAAAAGATATTGTTTTTAGAGGCGCAGCGCTTTTTAAAGTGCGTACGTTTCTCAAAGCCCTGGAATAATGTTTTATTCATGGACACCGGCCATCGAAAGTGTCGGTCGAGTGGAATCGCCTGCATTTAAGTGCATAAACCACTTTTCCTTGAAACCATAGAATATTTTAGCGCCTCGACTAATTGCCTGGTTACGTGCCGCGAATGAAAGTTTTCTTCACTGCGTGGCTACTGATCGTTTCGCACTTCCGATATTATACGAAGTTCGCGTTTGTGTTGCAATTTATCTAGAAACAATGTAAAATCCATAACAGAATGGCGGGACGGTTTGTCGAGTAACGAATAACTGAGAAGATAGAACCATAAAAAAGTACACGAATATTTCTTCAGATGTCAAATGTCAAAATTTAGTTGAAAGTAAGATATCACTTTAAATTCGCTCGCAATTAGTCCAAGAATAAAATTATACTTGCATCGTTAAAATGAAAACAACGAACTTGCTAATTCATCATTCAGTTGCGACATGTCAGTCATTATTTTAGACGAGCTCGTGATAAACGCAACGATGAAATGCACGTTGTTACAAAGCTACGATAGTCATTGCGAAATGCATAATTAAAAAAGTTCAGTTCAACTCGTTAGCGAGCGTAAGGGTGTAGCTTATTGGATTCAGAATGCTCTTGTTTCGAGGGACACGCTCTTTATGGAGTTTCGATCAAGACAAGTCGGGAGGAAATCGTCGTCCTGCCCGATTGGTCGGCATATCACGAACGCTCGGGGCGTGGCTCGATTACTACTCTCGACCAACCGTTCTCTCCTTTCAATTATTATTTAATTACGCTAATTGCCCGCCGCCGAGTCTCGGCCTCTTACGATTTGCCAGCCGTCCGGGGAGCAGCGATCGTTAAGTCGGAAGAAACTTTGCGGGTTCCAAACGAATTGAACTCGCACGAATGTGATTATCATCGCTAAATAGCGATGCCCATAATTCCCTAGTTAATTCATTCCGCATTACGCAAATTGCCGTAGTTGCAATTCTTTTTTATCATCACCCTTCTTCTCCTTTTGCTTTAAGAACGTTATCGAGACATTTCTCTTTAAGTACTCCTTTTCATCTTCTTTATCATTTTTCAATTCTTCTTTATCATGGAGATCACGAACAATACTGAAAATATTCTTAAAAAATACAAATTTTCGCGACGTCTTCGACGATTTTACATATCAACGAAAAGAACAATTGGAATAATTCTTCCGTTTCATTGTCGGGATAGCATTTCGTTGATTTCGCGATTTAGCAAAGTGACAAGCGTATAGAACGCAATCCCGTGTAAAAATCCCACGAGTGTGAACGAGCACTTTGCACCCACGCAAATTGTTCCGCGGTGTCAAGCACCGTTGTTCGCCGTTTCTTTTTTGCTACGTCTCGTATGCGGCCGCAGAAAATTCCGCGGAATTATGCAGAGCAGCATAACGTGCGCCGGTACGTATAGAGCGGCAGAGGATCGAGAGTGAATCGGGACACGTGAGCATAAATTGGCTTGACGCAGAATCGGCCTGACAGTTTAACTATGACAAAAGCACAATAGAATGCGCCGTTTCCTGAATGCAGCATGCGGCTGTAATTTCTCTGTCTGTCCGTCCGTGCCGTTCTCTCTTTCCCTCCGTCGCGGTCTCTATCTCGCTCTCATTTTTTGTTCCCTATTTCGCTCGCGGCCCGTTTTGAAATGGCGGATATTGCGGACAGTTTAATGCCGTGCCAGCATCACGACCGCTCGTTAGCGAGCGATGCTTCAGTTTAATCAAATCCACCTAGCGAATTTCGCGTAATCAGCTAGTGACATTAACCAGCGATGTGGATTTATCAATTCTCCATTTTAACTGTTCTCTGAGATTTGACGGTGATTTTTTAGATCCGACTGCGGCCGCAATCACGATTCGCTATTTTTGTGATTTCCTTTTCAAATCGTAGTTCCAGTCACGACATAAGAGGGAATGAAATTTAGCTGTTTGATTAGTCATTTGTTTTAAGAATCACGTTGAAAGCGACAGGAGAAAATTAGGATATACGTGTGGTTGATAAAAATTTATATAGACACGGAATTGTAAGAGCGAGAAAAAGAAAATTTTCTAAGGAACAGAAATTGTGTAGAATAGGTTAAATGTCTTACAATCTCAAGTTTACATTCTCCGAGTTTTTTTTAGCGCGCATTGAAAAACGCGTGGATTAGATAAGAGAAATTACGTACCGTTAGGCACTGATTTCAATCGAATCGTCTTATTTTAATTGGGATATATCTCTGATGGGATACTTCGAAATATTATTTCACCGTAGCCGTACGGTGAATTTTCCACGAATCTTCCGTCTCGACTCTAACTGGTCGCCGTGTGATGACGGTTATTACCATGATGCGCCGTTTCCTGCGTCCGTGAACGAGCATGCCGGCACAAAATCAACACGGCATTCCGCGCTTCGAATTACAGATATTCTCACAAAAAGGCAATAAACGTCAAATCGAAGTGTATCATTAAATTACCACCTTTCTTCCGATATTTTTGGATTCGCGTTAACGCGACCGCCAACTTATTGCCATCTTCTTACTTATTATCATCGATAAAACGTAATTTTATGACATTTCGAATGCGAGCTTATTAATTATCTGAAGATACAAGGAAGAACGACGATGAAACTGGCACAATCTAAAGGTATGATTATTTAACAGTATCACTGAATGAAAAACGGAATTACGGGGATTCTTTGGACGTTCACCCAACAAAGTCAACTTGGAAACTCTGTAAAATCTATGGAGAAGTTTACAAAAATTTTCAGAAAAATATTCTTATATAAAATTGTAGTTTCTCGCATGTTTTATTTAGAATATCATCAACAGCGACTTGAATTCTTGCTGTATTTGAACCGTTCGCGCAATCACGGCGACATACAAGTCATTCCAGTTGTTGTTAAAAATTATCCT